TTTGTCTCGCAAGAGGAGCGCATTTCTCAAGTCAACTACCTCCTCTTCTTCGAGACCCTCTCGCGCTATGAAGGCGGGCGAGAGGAGGGAGGGGCCCCTTGCAGAGGTGGCGTGAATGCTTTAGCATTCTCGCCCGCTCTGCTGAGGGGAGGGGCAGGACGAGCGGTCGCCTGAGGCGCCTATCTCTATCCACCCTCTCTTGTGGTTTGCCAGCGGGGCACGTGGCCAAGGACGACGTTTCAGATCGCGCGTCCGCTTGTTTGCGCACCCGCGTGCTCGTCCACGCCACTGTCCTCCCGCCCCCTTTGATCTCTGTCGCCCCACCCGCCTCTCCCGAGCGACTGAGATTCGAGGTTGGTCTGTTCTGTTATCTGTTGGAGTCTTGCGAGTGTGTCCGTCGTCGTACCCTCCGCCGTCCATGCATGGTGTGTGTGGAGTGCTGTCTGTGGTGTTTTGTGGGGTGTGTGGGGGGGGAGGGGGTAGGGAGCAGCACCTCCCCCCTCACCACGCATGTCAGGCGCGGCCGCCGCCGAGCGCGGCGGCCGCCCAGGCCTCGTGGCCGATTTGTTTGTCTCGCAAGAGGAGCGCATTTCTCAATTCAACTACCTCCTCTTCTTCGAGACCCTCTCGCGCTATGAAGGCGGGCGAGAGGAGGGAGGGGCCCCTTGCAGAGCGGGGACCCAATAACGATCGATTTGTTTGACAGCATGGCGGCTGATCGACCAGGAATGAGAGACGACGACCCGGAGTGCGCCTTCGCCGTTCGCATCGTCAAGCTGGAGCCGGCGCGCACGCCTCCGGTCCAAGGCCTCGACCCGACTCACAGCCCGCTGACCGGCAGGAAGATCCGGTGCGGGCTGTAGTCGTACCTGCGCTTCCGCTGATAGCACACGCTGCCGGCCGCGAATCGCCGCGACGCAGCATGCGACTTAGCGTGCCGCCTCCGGCCGCAGGCACGCGCCGGTCATGCGCGTCTTCGGTTCCACGCCGCGCGGGCAGACGGCGTGCGTGCACATGCACGAGGCGTTCCCGCACCTGCTCGTGCCCGGCCCTCACTGGCTGGCGTCGGCTCCGGAGGAGCGGGTGGCGGCGTTTCGCCGGAGGGTGGCGGACAGCCTGGACGCGGCGCTGGCGCACCGCGAGGACGAGCGCGCCGCCGAGCGAGCCGCGCGGGCACAAGCCGCTCAGACGGGCGGCGGCGGCGGCGGCGGAGGCGGCGGAGGCGGAGGCGGCGGGCGGGAGAGGGCGGCACGGACGAGGGCGGTAGCAGCAGCGCCCGCCATCGGCTGTAGGCGCGCCGGCGTTGGCGGAGCGTGAGCGGGCGAGGGTGTTTGACATCGCAGTAGTGTCGAGGACCCCGTTCTACGGCTACCACGCCGAGGCGAGATCTCGCCGAGATACAGCCGAGATGTGGCCTCACGGAGGCCGTTCTACGCGCGCGCCGCCTTCTCGCGGCCCAGTGGAGGCGGATCAATCTCGGCTCATCTCGGCTCATCTCGACGCCCTTCGGCAGGCGCGCCCTTTTTTGCGTGTCGTGCTGGTCGAGACGCAAGCCAGGGGCGTGGACCAGGTGGGGAGGGGGGTGGAGGGGGGGCCGGACCGGCGTCGCCCCCGCAGAATGACGAATCTCTCCATCCCTCGGCAACTAGGTCGTCGAGGCGGCCGACCTCTTTCTCCTCGGCCTCGTGCCGCCGCTGCAGCGGGCGCAGCCGCCGCCGCATCGGTCACCGACCGCCGCGATTCCTTCCCAGGCCACCCACCTGTCCACACGCCCCGCAGGCGCAGCCGTACGAGTCGCACGTCGGGTACGCGCTCAAGTTCAAGGCCGGCCTGGGGCCCTCGCTGCGGGGAGGGCCCCGTGGAGAGCCGCCTCTTCCACCCCCCCCCCCCCCTCTCTCCCGTGAGCAGGTCGACCTCAACCTGCACGGCATGGACTTGCTCCGGCTGGGTGGCGCCTCTCTGCCCGCCCTGAGGCCGGGCCTGCCTCGGGCGACGGCGGCGCGCCCTCTCGCCTCTCCACTCGCCTCGCAGACTGGCGGCGGCGAGGGGAGCGGCGGCAGCGGCGGCGGCGGCGGAGGCGGCAGAGGCGGAGGCGGCGGAGGGGGAGGCGGTGGGAGCGTTGGAGGCGGGAGCGAGAGGCGGCGGAGGGAGACGGGGCTTCGAAGCGTGTGGACGGAGGGGGCGACGCACGGGGCAGAGGAGTCTCGGGTGCCCCTCGGCCAGATCTCGGGGAGGCGTGTGCTGTAGGAGGGGGAGACGCATGGCTTGTGCGTGCGGTACCTCGCGCCGCGGCTGACCTCTTGCGAGCTCGAGCTAGACGCGGCACCGGCGCAGGTCCTGCTTCGAGAGGTGCTGCGCGAGTCGCTCTCGCCCTCTTCACAGCCACAGCTGTGAGCAGGTGCTCAACGCGCGAGACGTGCTGCACGAGCCCCTCTCGTCCGCCCGCGCCGACGTGCAGATGGTGCCGCGCCCCTCCCCGACTTGTGCACTTGTCCGCCGGTGAGCTGCCAAGCCTGTCAAGCGTGGGCCCTCAGGTCTCCTCCCTCTCCAATTTGTGGAGGGACGAGCGCGACAGGTCGGGCAGCGCCACGGCTCTGCACACCTCGAGGCCCGCCTCTCCACACACCTCCGCCCCTGCGAGCAGGCGGGCAGCACTCGGGCTTGCCCCGCTGCGCGGCCCCAACGGGTCCCCTCGAGGGCGGCACGCTGGCCGGCGTCCCTCCGTTGTCAACGAGCACGGATGCACTCTTAGGACTCCCGAGGGAGGCACGCCGGCGGCCGAGGCGTCGCTGCGATGTGCTCTTCCTCCCGCACGCAGCGGTGCGGTGCGGGACCAGTTCGAGGCGGACTAGCCTGTAGTTCATTGCTAGTTGTAGTAGCAACAGCGGTGCGATGCGGGTTCGATCGAGCGCCACCTCTTCACACCTGCCTCTTCACACTTGCCTCTTCACACTTGCCTCTTCACACCTGCCCGTTTCCTTCACACCTACCTGTTCACACTTGCCTGCAGGTGCTCGAGCAGATCCTCGCCGCCACCGAGGCGGACGAGGAGGAGGGAGCGGCGGGCAACGACGACGGCGGCGGGGGGTCCGGGGACGGCTAGCGGGCCCCGGAGGGCTCGGCTCTTCTTCCCCGTGTCACGCTGCAATGAAGTGCTGTGTGTTGGTGATCAGGCTGGGCCATGGACGGCCCCCTCTCCCCCGTCGCGTCTGCCGAGGCGGCGGGAGGCCCGACCGAGCCGCCGGGAGGGCTCACCCAGCTCATCGACGCCGCGGACACGGCAGAGCTGCAGGCGAAGGTGCAGCAGGCAGGCCGCACTGATCGGTCATCTGGAGCCATCGATGCGTTGCTCATCGACAGGCGTCGCAGCCGTCCCAGCAGTCGGAGCCGCCGCAGCTGTCGCAGCCGCCGCAAGACGGCACCGCCGCGCTTCTGCGGTGTCTGGCTGCCTCTCGGCCAGGACTCGGCTAATCCGCCTCCGCGGCTGAGTCAGGCCTCGACGCGCTCTTGCGGGAGATCAACCAGGAGATGGCGGGGCGCGGAGGAGGCGGCAGGCGGGGAGGCGGCTTCTCTTCACACCGCCCGCCGCCGTGAACAGGAGAACGAGGAGGCGTACGAGGCGGGTGGCCTCTCCTCCCAGCCGCTGCAGCCGTCCCAGTCGCAGCAGTCTTCCCTCGGCGCGGAGGCCGACGCCGCAGGGGCATACGCCGAGGGGGAGGAGGAGGAGGAGGCGGCGGAGGAGGAGGCACTCGATACGGCGCGGCTGTGAGCAGCGTCTCTTCACACCTCCTGCCGTGAGCAGGTGGAGGAGGTGCTCGAGCTCGAGGCGGCGGCGCTCAAGGGGATGCCGCGGCGAGCGCTCGAGGCAGCCGCGGCCGCAGCCAAGGCTTGGAGCGGGCAGCTGCTCTTCACGGCCTCCTTCTGTGAAGTAGGAGCTGCGTTTGCTCCTGCTCCTAGTAAACAGCTGACACCAGTCGATGAGCCCCTACCCCGGTGTGAGCAGGAGCTGCAGCTGCAGCTGCTCCGGCTCGGAGCAGTCACCTCTGCGGCGGTGACGCGGCTTGGGACGGTGACGGTCGAGGCGAGCCCGTGCCTGCGCTTGTGAATGCCGCCACTTGATCAGTTGCTGTTCACCTATTGAGCTCGCGGTGGCGGTGGAGGCGAGCCCATTAGTTAGTTGCGAATGGCACGAATTGTGATGCAGCCCGGTGGCGGTGCAGGCGCGTCTTCCCGCTCTCGCGCTGCCGCGGCTCGAGGAGCAGGTCCGCGACGGTCCTCGGAGGGTGGTGGTGGCCCGGCTGGACCAGGCAGCTGAGGGAGCCATGAATCGACCCGTAGGTCCCCGCGGCGGTCTTCGGAGGTGGCGGCCGTTTGTCAGTTTAATCAAGGAGCTGTCGACCGCCCCGCTTGACAGGTGCGCGCGGTCCTCGCAGGGGCGGGCGTCTCCACCGGCGCCGATGGCATTCGCCGAGGTGCGACACTGCGCGGGGCAGTCCCCGAGACTGCGCCGCTTCTTCTTCAGGCGTGGCGCCGAGTTTCGAGGAGGAGTTGCAGGCGTCGCAGCTGGCGTCGCAGCAGCTGGCGCAGCGCCTGAGGGGGAGCGAGCCCGCCGGGGAGGGCGGCGGCGGCGCGGGCTGGGAGGGGGAGGGGGCAGGGGAGGGGGAGGGGGCAGGGGAGGGGGAGGGGGCAGGGGAGGGGGAGGGGGAGGGGGAGGGGGAGGGGGCGGGCGTGATTCCGCAGTGGGACGGCGGCGGGGACAGCCCTCAGCGGCCGGACGAGGAGAGGGAGCCGGAGGAGGAGAGGGAGCCCTCCTCCTCCGCCACCAGCGCCGCCGCCACCTCCTCGTTCGCATCCTCGGGGCCTCCGCCCTCGGCAGCGGCGACGGCGGCAGCGGCGACGGCGGCGGCGGCGACGGCGGCAGCGGCGACGGCGGCGGCGGCGACGGCGGTGGCGGCGACGGCGGCAGAGCGCTCCCCCGTTGCTGCTGCCGAGCAGCCAAGCAGCAGCTTGCTCGCGGGTCTACCGCCGGACCTGCCCGCCTTTTGCAGGGAGGCGTACCTCCGGGCGTACCGCCGCGAGTCGGGGAGCGGCAGAGGAGGCGGAGGGGGTGGCGGAGGCGGCGGGCTTGGACTGGGCGGGGATGGGCCTGCGGTGCGGGTGTCGGGCGTGAAGCGAGTGCGCGAGGCGTCCGACACGAAGGAAGGCGGCGGTGAGGCGGAGGGGTCGGCGGAGGGCGTGGCGGAGGGGGGGACGGAGGAGGGGACGTCGATGGATGTGGAGGAGGGTGGAGCGGCGGCGAGAGAAGCCATGGAGGAGGAGGGGGCAGAGGCGGTGGCGGTGGCGGAGGCGGAGGAGGAGGAGGAGGAGGAAGAGGAGGAGTTGGAGGAGGAGGAGATAGAGGTTGGGGTGGACTCGGAGGGCGCGGCATCGGCGGCGGGGGCGGGGGCGGGGGCTGGGGCGGAGGCGGGGGCGGGCCTCTTTGACGAGTTTGCCGACGAGGAGGAGGAGGAGGGCGGTGGCGGGCAGGCGGCGGAGGAGGAGGAGCTGAGCCAAGCAGAGCTGAGCCAACTGCTCGTCGTGCAGCGCCCGCCTCCTCCGCTGTCCGCGACGCCGCCAGGGTCACCGACAGAGCGGTATGCCCCCGCCTCGCACGCCGCCTCGCACGCCGCCACGCCCGAAGGGCTGCCCGGCGGGACGGAGATCCTCCCCGGAGGCACGCTGCTAGACCCGCTGCTCGACCTCCCACGCTTCTTCGCCCCCGCCGACCAACAAGGACCGCTCACCTCGCCGGACCCCTACGGGACAGTGCCAGAGCCTCCACCTCCGCACTTCCCGCAGCCGCCGTCTCCACGCAGCGGCCCTCCGCCATATCTCAAGCCCGCACACGGCGCTCGCTCGTCGCCGCCTCCGCCGCCGCCGCCTCCGCCGCCGCCGCCACTGCCGCCGCCACCGCCTCCGTCGCTCGCGACGTCGCCGCCGGACTACCCCGACCACCCAAGGCCAGCTTCTCCAAAGTACGACGAGCGAGGCAACACGCTAGGAGATTGGACGGACTTCAAGCAGCGAGACGAGTCTGGCTTCAGCGATGAGTCGGACCCGGAGGAGCAGTCGCGGGCTGCGTCGACGGGCGTGCCTGCCATGAGCCACGGCACCGCACCGCCGCGAGCTGGCGAGCCGACGGGGCGAGCAGCGCGAGGCGTGTGAGGAGACGCTGTTCACGCAGCCCATCTGCGAGCAGGCGGTGCCGCGGGGAGGCAGGCAGCGCGAGGGCTCAGCCGTGTGATCTCGAGGGGCTACGGCCCCCTCGCCGCCGGCTGTACGGCGCCGCAGCCTCGGGGAGGCGCGTAGCATGAAGTGCTGCCACTCGCCATGACGGGAGATGTGAATGATCGCAGGTGCTGCGGCCGAAGGAGGCGCCGCCGTCTCGAGCGGCGGTGCAGGAGACTCTCTGGCCTCGGGTGGTGCCCAAGGGCGTCTTCTACTCGAACCGCGCCGACCTCGAGGCGGACGGAGGCAGCTGCAGCGCAACGCGGTCCGGCGGACGGAGTCCGTCGCTGACGAATCACTCGCGACGGAACTTGCTCACTAGGCGCCTCGCGGGCATGCTCCATGGTCACGAATGAATCGGGGAAGAGTCATTGAGTGCCACTAGGCGCCTCGCGGGTCGTGCGGCACCGCGAGCATCGCTTCGGCTCTGCGGGCGCGGCTTGGCCCTGCAGACTCTTCTTTACCAGCGAGCCATCAGCCATCAAGGTTCGTGATGCTTACCAGGCGCCGTTTCGCTCTGCCGCTTCTTCTGCGACGCGCGCGGACGCCCCGACGGCTGCCCCGCCTGCCGGCAGGAGAAGGCTCTCTCACTCTCCCCTGAGCCCTCTCTCGACCTCCCTCTAGGCTGCCCCGCCTGCCGGCAAGAGTGGGTCGCCGCAGCCCGCGTCGCGTCGCCGCCGCAGGAGCCGCTGACCCTCAAAGCGACCCGAAGGGGGACTACCCGAGATTAGCGGGAGGCTGCACCGAGACTAGGCGCCGCGAGTCCTCGCGCCGGCGCTGCCTCCGCCGTCTGCGGCAGAGGTTGCCGCCTGGTGCCGCCTCCACACACCCGGGCCACGAGGGGGGAGGCGCGGGCGCGAGCGCGGAGGCGCCGCCTCCGCCGCCGCCGGCGGCCGCAGCATAGCGGGCGGCAGGGCGAGACGGCGGGGCGGCGGGGGCGGAGGCGGCGGAGGCGGCGGAGGCGGCGGAGGCGGCGGAGGCGGCGGAGGCGGCGGAGGGGCGAGGGCTGCAGCGCCCGACTCGGACCCCGGGAGGGGTAGGTGCGGGCCAGGGGGGGGCGGCGGGGGCGAGGCGGGCCGCAGCCTGGACTCGTCGCAGGCGTCGGAGGGCACGCCGACGGCGGTGCATGCAGCGCCGCCAGGCAGTGCACCGGGTAGCAGTGCTGCGGAGGCGGCCAGTCCCGCCGCCGCCGCAAGGTCGGAGGAGAGCCAGCTGGCTAACTAGTGATATACGACTCATTCCTGAGTAGGCTGCAGGGTCGGAGGAGAGCCGCTCCGCTCAACCCGCCGCACGGCCCTCTCCGGCGCAGACCGGCGCGGTGTAGAGGAGAGAGCACGCTGCCGCGATCGTGTGCGGAGGCCAGCTGGCACAAGTCTGGCCTGGCCATGAGCTCCACCAGTACCACTTGTGTGGTGAGGCCAGACCCGCGCCTGCCCACCCCAGTCCGCCGACCCTTCTGCCGACCTTTCTGCCGACCCTTCTGCCGACCCGCGTCTGCCGACCCTTCTGCCGACCCTTCTGCCGGCGACCCGCGTCTGCCGACCCTTCTGCCGACCCCTCCCACGCGGGATCACGCAGCCGAAGCAGCCACTGGACATCCGTGCGCCGCTCGAACACGCCTCTGCCGAGGCTGCGAGGCGCCGTGTGAGACATGCCGCGTCCTCGCCCCGCTCTCACTCTCTCTGCTCTGGTCGCGCAGGCGCCTTGCCGATGACCGGCGTGTCGGGCCCGTCTGCGATGGCGACGCAGGGGCGGCGCGGCGGCGGCGCGGCGGCGGCGGAGCTGGCGTCTCTTCGGCCGCCACGCCCCAGTTGCAGTTCGCCGTCATTGACGTGTCATGAGTATGAACCAGGCGCCTCACGGCTGCCAGCATCTCTGCCTCTTCGCCTTCGAGCTGCACGTGCGCACGCGGGGCGGGATGAGGCCTGACCCAGGCCGCCCCGGCAGCGATGCGGCGGGAGGCGCGGCTGACACGTGCAGGCATCTGGCTCGTGCAGCCGCGAGGAGTGATAACTGATGACTGAGCAGGCGCGGCGGGCGGGTCAGCCGGCACGTCAGCGGCGCACGGTGCCCCGGCCGGCGGCGGGGACGAGATCCTGGCGGTCGTGTACTGCGTGCAGCGGGAGGACGGCGCGTGGCCGCTTCGCGGTCGCGGAGGCGGAGGAGGCGGAGGAGGAGGCTTAAGAGGAGGCGGAGGAGGCGGCGGCGGTGCAGAGGGCGGAGACGGTGGCGGAGGCGATGGGGGCGGGTGCGGCGGCGGGTTTGAGTGGCACGACGAGCGGAGCATGCGGTGCGGCGCCACCCTTCGGCCGGACAGGTCGTCCAGTTGACGATGAATGGCTAGTCATGCCTAATCAGGTACGGCGTCATCCTTCGGTCGGACCAGGGCGGGGGAGGGCTGGGAGGCGGCGCGGCGGCGCGGCGGCGCGGCGGCGGTGGGTGAGGGTGTGAACGGCGCCTCTTCACGCCGTGTGCTGTGAACAGGCGCGGCTGCGCGGCGGGCTGCTCGGGCGTGGCGTTGCTTGCACCGAGGCGCGCGTGGCTGGAGGGGAGGTGGGCTTGCTCAAGGCGCTCGCCGCGGCGGTGCAGCAGCACGACCCCGACATCCTACTCGCGTGGGACGTGCGGCGCGCGTCGCTCGGGTACGCGCTCGAGCGAGCCGCGGTGCTCGGGATGAGGCCTCCGCTCGTGCGGCTGCTTGGGCGGATGCCAGACTCGGACGACGGCGACGCGAGGGCGAGGCGGGACCCGTGGGGCGAGCAGCACGGCTCGATGGACTTGGCCCAGAGATAGCCGAGATCTAGCCGAGAGATAGCCGTGGGGCGAGCACGGCTCGATGGACCTGGCCTGCGGCCGGTTGGTCAGAGGTGTGTGGCGGCGGCGCCTCTTCACGCCGGCGCGGGTGTGGGCCAGGTCTGCGGCCGGCTGGTGCTCAACGTGTGGCGCTCCGCGCGGGCAGAGCTCAAGCTCACCTCGTACACACTCGACAACGTCGCCGCCAAGCTGCTCGCCGCCGTGATCAGTGAAAACACTACGATGCCGCCTGAGGAATCTATAGGTCGCCGCGAAGCTGCTCACCATTGTCGGCGCGGACGGGCGCCCTAAGCCACAGCACGCACCCGGCCCACGCCGAGGAGTGGCCAATCAGTCGTTGATTGCGAGAGCTAGGCGCCCCATGCCGCAGCGCGTGCCCGCCCACACCCACCGCTCGATGACGCTGTGGTGGGACGAGGCGCCCGCCCATGCCGCCGCTCGCCGAGGCGGTTGGGTGGTCCTTCATCCAGGGTTGACTATCTCAATCAGGCGCCCGCCGCCGTCCCGCCGGCCGCGAGCCGGCTGGACGCCGGCCGACTGCACGTGCTGCGCCACTACGCGACCGTCCTCCGCACCACGCTGCTCGTCGTCGCCAGGCGAAAGAGAACAGATCGGTGTTTGATACCCAAACAATACCTCATCGTTCACCACGCTGCTCTTCGCCAGACTGGATAATTGGTTCATCATGCAATAGAAGGAATGGTGTGATTCATCACGAGAGAGCTGCTCGTCGCCAGGCTGGAGGTCATCTCCCGCACCTCGGAGCACGCGCGAGTCTTCGGCACCGACTCCCTCTCCGTGCTCACAACTCAGCCATACCTCCTGACCAATCCGCTGCCCAATCAGGCATCGACTTCCACTCTGTGCTGGTGCGAGGCTCGCAGTACCGAGTGGAGTCGATGCTGCTGCGGCTGGCCCGGACGCAAGACTACGCCCTCCCCGCCATAAACAAGGAGCAGGTGAGGGGCCAGTCAGCCATCGAGTGCCAGGCGCGCAACGCAGCACCGCTGCTTTTACCCTCTCACATCGTCCTCACCGACTCAGCCGTCGAGTGCCCAGGCGCTCAACTTCGACCCCGAGGGCACCCTCTACTCGGACCCGGCCGCACTGCTCAGCGGGGGGCGAGAGGCGTGCGGTCGGGCGGGTGCCGATCGAGGCATGAGTTGATCGTAGGTGGCCGTGCTCGACTCTGCACGTTGTTGTCTCGTATTCGGTTGATAGGTCTATGACTGTGCCACAGGTGGCCGTGCTCGACTTTCGCTCGTTGTACCCCTCCGTCGTCTGCGCGTACAACTATTGCTACTCCACCTGCCTTGGCAAGCTCGAGGCGATACCACGGACCCTCCGGCGGGAGACGAACCCGCGCCTCGTCACACCTCTGCGCTGCGAACAGGCGATGGCGCCTACCCTCCGGAGGGAGGCGGGGCCGTCGCATAAGTTCGGATGCCTCGAGCTGCCTCCGCGTGCGCTCGCCACCCGCGACGAGGTGCACTCGTCACTACCCCTAGGACTGATTTCGCGCTAGCAGCTGCTAGCCACTCACTGAGCTACTAGCTCTCCACCCGCAAGAGGCGCTCGGCCATCGCACATGCCTCGCACACGCCCCTCGCTAGTCAGTGAGTGACTGGTTGACCGGCGCGCCTCCGGACGGACAGGCACACGGCCCCTCGGGGCCTCGAGACGCCGGCTGGCAGCTCCGCGCCGCCCTACGCCGCGTCGGAGCCGCCGCCCCGCCCGCCGACAGCGACCAGCCCACCTCTGCCACCAACCCCTCTGCCGCCGCCTACTCTCCCGCCGCCTCCTCTCCCGCCGCCCCCTCTGCCGCCCCCTCTGCCGCTCCCTCTGCGGCGGCTGGCGGGCTTCTGCGCGGGACCTACGCCTCGCCAAACGGGCTCCTGTTTGCGCGCGCAGCGGCGCGGCCTGGCGCGTGCTGCCGCGGTGCAGCGTGAAAGACGCCGATGACATCCTTCAAGGCATCCCTGCGTGGATCAGGCGTGCTGCCGCGGCTGCTGCGCGAGATATTGGAGACGCGCTTTATGGTCAAGCGCGCGATGAAGTCGCTGCCGCCCGGGCCTGCGCTTTCACTGCACGATCCATGGGCTGTGAGTGACAGTACTTCACCGTTGCCTCATTGCTCACAGGTCAGCGCTGCACCGCACGCTCAACGACCGGCAGCTCGGCCTCAAGCTGGTGGCCAACGTCACGTACGGGTACACCGCCGCCTCCTACTCCGGGCGGATGCCGAACGCTCACCTCGCAGACGCCATCGTGCAGACCGGGAGGGAGACCCTCGAGGCGGCGATCGAGATGGTGCACCAGCGGCGCGAGTGGCGTGCGCGCGTGGTGTACGGCGACACGGACTCGATGTTTGTGCTGCTCGAGGGTCGGTCGGTCGCGGAGGCCTTCGCGGTCGGCCGCGCGATAGCCGAGGCGGTGACGGAGAGGTGCCCGCACCCGATGGAGCTCGAGCTCGAGAAGGTGTACGCCGCGAGCATGCTGCAGGCAAAGAAGCGGTACGTCGGCCTCTCGTACGAGTCGGCCAGGCAGTACGAGCAGCACGTCGCCGGCGACGCGTCTCGCGCGCCCGCTCTCGACGTCAAGGGCCTCGAGGCGGTGCGGCGCGACGCGTGCCTCGCGACGGTCAAGGTGATGGACCGCGCGCTGCGGCTGCTCCTCACCACGAAGGACGTGTCGGCCGTCAAGAGCTACGTGCTCCGGCAGTGCGACAAGCTGTGGACGGGCCGCTTCCCGCTCATCGACTGCGTCTTCGCCACCGAGATGAAGGGCGGCGCGCAAGACACCTTCGGGTACAAGTCGGAGGGCGTGGCGCCGGGGTCCGGCCAGGCGGCCACCACGCGGCTGCGCGCTGTGTCTGGGGATGTGATCTCGGGCTGACCTCGGCTGTGTCTCGTGGTCAGGTTGCGATCCGCAGGCAGAGAATCGACCCGCGCGACGCGGCGGAGATGGGGGAGCGGGTGTGCACCTCGGGGCGGGCGAGTCGACTACCCGAAGATGACCCGAGATGAGGCGAGATTGCCCGAGAGTAGGTGCCGTTCGTGGTGGTCGAGTCGGCCCAGTTCGGCGTCGCCGCGTCGTCGACCAAGGCATTGCAGCGGCCCTGCCCTTCTCACCTCGGATAATCTCGGGTGATCTCGGGTACTCGTCCGAAGGCGTTCAAGCTGCGCGAGTCGGCGCGCCGCCCCGAGGAGCTGCTCCTGCACGAGCGCGGCCTCAAGATCGCGGCGCACTACTACATCTTCAAGGGCATCCTGCCCGCGCTCAACCGCATCCTCGAGCCGATCGGCGTCGACGTCTTCCGATGGCACACCCCTCCCGGAAGCGCGAGATGAGCTCGCCCAGCTCAGCCGCGGGCGTGACCCGCCGGGCGTGACCCGCAGGTACACCCTCCAGATGAAGCGCAACAACGTCCCTCTCGCGCTCGACCGAGCGGCGCCCGTCAAGGCGACCGGCCCGCGCCGGACCATGCACCAGTACTACCACTCGGAGCACTGCGTGCTGTGCGACGCCCCCGCGGCCGACGGCGCCGACCTCTGCGCCGCGTCCTTTGCCCGGCCACTGATGGACCAAGTAGTCCATGACTTGATCAGGCGCCACCCTCTGCGCCGCGTGCCTCGGCCGGCCTGGCGACGCCGCGTTTGCCCTAGCGACGCGGCTGCGGCTGCTCGAGCAGAGGCACCAGCCGCCGACGCGCCACTGCATGCTGCTAAGCAAGGTAACTATCATCGATTAATCGACGAACAGGCACGAGCAGACGACGCGTCACTGCATGCGCTGCACGGGCGAGCACGATCGCGACATCCGGTGCGAGGCGATCGACTGCCCCGTGCTGTACGCGCGGCTGAGGTACGAGCGGCAGGGCCACAACGCGAGGCAGCAGCAGGCCGCCGCGGTGCGGGCGCTGCAGTGGTAAGGTCGGTTCAAGCAGGTGTGTACGTACAAGTTGGCCAAAGTACAGGTTTCGATCCGGGCCACCGCAAATTTTGATCAGCAAATTTCGAGGGGCGGTCGCAAATTTTGAGGTAGATTTTGATTGTCAAAATGTGTCCGTCTTGGCACAGGATAGAAAATAAAATATTCTTAGCTTCAAGCCCCCCTCCGAGACTAGGGACAGAACCCAGAGATACATACGTCAAAGGGACTGCGCCTCGCCCCCACTTGCCCTGACTACACAGGATAGCATGCCCCGATAACGGCGACATATAGTGGGGGACACTGCGCAAGGAGGGGGTGCGAAGGCTCATTGGGATACTAGGTGGGACCATGAGGGGGGGTGGGCGGGGTCCTGTGGGGGTGAAATGTTGCGCGGCGAATTCGAACCTACCCCCTCGCCGCGCCGATCCTCACGCGGAGGGTAAAACCCTGTGGGACAAAACCCCCCCGCGGTCGGCAGTCTTCAGAGTGGACCCCCCCCTCCCCAGCCTCCCCTGTGCATCTCGCACCCCCCCCCGCTCCCCATCGGTGACTCGCGAAGGACACGGACACTCGGGGTGAGGGGGGGTCCCCCCGGAGGGGGCTCTCTGGGGCATTTTTGGGTTGATCGCTTGTGCCGATCTCGGGTCGATCTCGGGTCGATCTCGGGTCGATCTCGGGTCGATCTCGGGTCGATCTCGGGTCTCGGGTCGGTCTTGGGCGGGTCGGTCTCGGAGTGGTCTAGAAAAGAAAAAAAATGGGGCGAGGATGAGGCGAGAGATGAGGCGAGGTGTGAGGCGAGAGGTGGGGGGCGAGATGAGGCGAGATGAGGCGAGATGAGGCGAGATGAGGCGAGATGAGGCGAGATGAGGCGAGATGAGGCGAGGTGAGGCGAGATGAGGCGAGGTGAGGCGAGATGAGGCGAGGAGGTGAGGCGAGATGAGGCGAGGTGTGAGGCGAGATGAGGGTTGCGAGGCGAGGTGAGGCGAGATGAGGCGAGGTGAGGCGAGATGAGGCGAGGTGAGGCGAGATGAAGCGAGGTGAGGCGAGATGAAGCGAGGTGAGGCGAGATGAGGCGAGATGAGGCGAGACTAGGAGGCGAGATGAAGCGGGATGTTGTGTGGCTGCTTGTGCTGCCAAGCAGGCAGCACAAGCAGCCATAACAAGCCAGAACGGGGGGCGGGGGGCTGCGCGGCTGGCCGGCTCGGGAGCTGGCAGCACAAGCAGCCACACAAGTCAGCTTTGGGAGCTCTCGGCGACGCCCAATGCGTGCGCCGGTAGGGGGGAGTGTGTGCGCGCGTGTGTGAGATGTGGATTGTGGCAGGCTGCTGCTGCTGATGGGAAGTGTGCTCTGTGTGTGGCGCTGCGCTGGCGTGCGACGCGCGCGTGCTGTGTACGTGTGCGTGTTGCGGTCGCGCGCGCGTCTGCGTGTGCTGCGCGCGCGCTGCCGGTGTGTGCACTGTGTGCTGTATTCTGTTGTGCGCCCTGTTTGTGCAGCTGGGAGGCGCAGGCTTGGCTGGCAGGGCTGCGCGGTGGGCTGCGGCGCGCTGCGGGTGTTCGTGCGCCTGCCTGGTGGTGTGCGGCGGCCGCGCAGCCCGCCCGACCGGGTCGTCGGCGGCCCAGGGCGCGGGCATGCGGTCTGCGCTGCATGTGAGGCTGTGTGCGCGGCTGGCGCGTATGTTTCCGTGCGGCGAGGGACGCGCGTATGTGTTCACGCTGCGGGCGCGGGCGGGCGCGGAGGGCGGCGCGGTCTCACCGCGGTCCGACGCCCGTTGGTTTTCTGCGTGACGAGGCGGGCGCGCAAAGTGGCCTTGCCGCCATCGCGTTGCCGCGAAGGAAAAAGAATAGATCCTCTTGGCACAGGATAGAGCATATAGGCGGCGAACACCCAGGTGCGCAGGGACATCGCGACTCTGCCCGCTCGCTCGACCCTTTTGCCGCGAGAGGGCGCCGGCCGCGTGTAAGAGGTGGCTGGCGCCCTGAGGCGGCAATTGGTGGCGTGGGGAGTGCGGAACGCTACTGGCGGCGCGACAGGGCCTCTCTCGGTTGCGTGCGCCGCCCATCGGCACGCGGGTGCGCAGACATCGCGACTCTGCCCGCTCGCTCGACCCTTTTGCCGCGGTGAGGGCGCCGGCCGCGTGTAAGAAGTGGTCAGCGTGCGGTGCTGAGTCTTACTCGTCGGCGCTGGGGCCAGATCCCAGCGCAGAACTCTGCAACGCTGGCATACAAACACAAGAAGACTAACCCTTTCCCTAACCCTAACCCTAACCCTAACCCTAGGTCAGCGTGTGGGGCTGAGTCTTAGTCGTCGGCGCTGTGGGGCCAGATCCCAGCGCAGAACCCTGCAACGCTGGCATATACAGACACAACCAGACAACCCTGACCCAACCCTAACCCTAACCCTAACCCTAACCCTAACCCTCTAACCCTAATAACCCTAACCTAACCCACCCCCCAACTCCACACCGCAAATTTGAAAGATCTTGATGAAAATCAGGCCCGACTGCAAATTTCTTCAAAATTTTCGCAGGCGCTCCGCGCCTGCAGATTTTGAAATAAATTCGACAAAATTGGTACCTGGCCCAACGTACAAGC